CGGCATTGTCATATGCATGACTTTCTCATTAAAAGTCCCGCCCGCGTTCACCAGTAGGCACTGCACCCCTCCTCCTTATGAAAGATTCAGACTTCCAGACAAACACAGGGAGGCAGAAGGATCGCGCCTGCTCGTGGAGCTTCAGGCCTGGCCTCAGGTGCTGGCACCCGGACGAGTGCCAGCAGCAGCCCGTGTTATTTTCAAAGCCTTGCTACTGCACCTGGCTTGGTCGGGCTCTGGGGGCTTAACCGAATGCAACCCTGAGATGATGCTGTGGGTAAGCCACGCCCACAGATGCAGGTTCATTCCAGCCGCTCCCCTGCTTACAGTGTGTCCTGGGCAGGTTTCTTAACTCTTCTGAGCCAAGCATTTTTTCGTTTGTTTGTTTTGTTTTGAAGATTTATTTATTTATTTGAAAGTCCGAGTTATAGAGAAAGAGAGAGGGAGAGGGAGGAGAGAGAGATAGAGATAGAGAAAGCTCTTCCATCCGTTGGTTCACTCCCCACAAGGCTGCAACGGCCAGGGCTGGACCAGTCTGAAGCCAGGAGCCAGGAGCTTCATTCAGTTCTCCCATGTAGGTAGCAGAGGCCCAAGCACTTGGACCATCCCTTCATTGCTTTTCCCGGGTCATTAGCAGGGAGCTGGATCGGAGGTGGGGTAGCCGGGACTCAAACCTGCTCCCTTTTGAGATACTGGCATTGCAGGGGGTGGCTTTACCCCCTACACCACAGCGCCAGCCCCAAGCCTCGGCTTCTTTATCTACAAATTGGAGCAAAAAACTACAGCCCTAGAGTTTCTTATCCCAACCTTTAAATCCAAAAACTATGACAACGAGCGTTCTTTTCTTCACGCATATGGCAGTGAGATCCAACGGTCTTGAGTTATTTAGGACAGAATACACTCTCTGGAGTGCCAGGCTGTGTGACGGGGCTTTTCGTGTCTGTTATGTTTCGTGCACATGCGTTGCTGCGGAGGAATCCCAGCAGTAGTTACGCGGCACCAGAGCCCGCCAGCAGTGGTGCGCACTATACAGTACTCGCAACATCTTATTTCTCTACAATCCGGAGATTTCTGAATTCCAACACCGATCTGGCCTCTAGGATTTCTGATAGCGGCCTGTGGGCCCGTGCATATCTTCCTCCTAGAACTGTGACGGCCGCGTGATGGAACGCTGACAGAACTCGGGGCACGCCCTGCACCAGTGCCGCCTCCTTTCCCCTGGCCCTCACTGAGCCTCTTCGGTTAGCAGGCGGGGACATTTGCTCTGCAGGTGGTGTGTTTCCTGCACGTTGGCACCTGCGGCTGTCGGTCCAGCTTGTTTGGCAGCCTGCCAACTCCTTCCAGGAAGGGGTTGTGTCCTGGTGATGCCTGGCACAGGTCGTGGTTAACTAGCATGTTATAAAAATGACCCCAGAAATCAGGGATCAGGTCTGTCTGCTGGGCCTCCTGGTGTCCTGCTCTCCGTTCGGGTCGGGTGTACTATGGAATGCAGGAGCGAAAACTCCGAGGAGTGGAAGCCAGCGGGGGAGGGGCAGAGGGCATAGCGAGGTGGTGAGGGGGACTCCCTGAAGGCAGGTTTGCCCTGCGCTGCCCTGGCTTATGCCAGTTATCACAACGTAGCTAACCATCATCTCCCATTTTTATTCTTTCATATTGCAGTACAACCTCATTTGGAAAATAAATTGCATGGACACCCTAAGCACAGACACCAGGGGAAAGTCTCAGGGTGCAAGGATTTTTTTTTTTTTTTTTTTGCAGGGGATCAAACTTCACTGGAAGGAGAAATGAAGGTGCCTACAATGGTCAGTTAGGGGCGGGTATTTGGCCCATTGGTTAAGATACCATGCGGGACGCCTGATCGCAGGCATGGCTCTACCTTCTGCTCCAGGGTCCTGCCAATGGGCACCCTGGGAGGCAGCAGGAGATGGCTCAAATACTTGGGGCCCTGCCACCTATGTGGGAGAACAGGACTGAGTTACCCTTTCCTGGATTCCGTCTGACCCAGCCCCAACTGTTGTGGGCATCTGGAGAGTGACCTTGTGGATGGAAGCACCCTCCTCTGGTTTGAGTCATGGCTGCTCTATTTCTTTTATTTACTTATTTATTGCCAGGCATAGTTAGACAGTGAGAGATAGACAGTGAGAGAGAGAGAGAGTTATAGACAGTGAGAGAGAGACAGAGATAAAGGTCTTCCTTTTTCTGTTGGTTCACTCCCCTAATGGCCGCTACAGCTGGCGCACTGCGCTGATCCGAAGCCAGGAGCCAGGTACTTCCTCCCAGTCTCCCATGCGGGTGCAGGGACCTAAGCACTTGGGCCATCCTCTACTGCCCTTCCGGGCCACAGCAGAGAGCTAGACTGGAACAGGAGCAACCAGGACTAGTACCCGGCACCCCAAACGGGACTAGAACCCGGGGTGCCGGCGCCACAGGCGGAGGATTAGCCAAGTGAGCCACGGCACCAGCTGGCCGCTCCATTTCTAATCCAGGCCCCTGCTGATGCACCAGGGAAAGTTGCAGAAGACATCCTAAGTGCTTAGGCCCCTGCCATCCACATGGGAGACATGGATGGAATTCCAGGCAATTGGCTGGGCCCAGCCCAGTCATTGCAGCCATTTAGGGAGTGAACCACTGGACAGAAGATCTCTCTCTCCCCATCCCCACTCCACACACACCCCTACCCATCACTCTGCCTATCAAATAAATGTTTTTAAAATGGTAGGCTTGAGAGGTAGAGGTGAGCGTTGCTAGTGACAAACTTTATGCCTCTAGCAATGACTAAGAGCATAGGTTTTGGAGTCAGATAGACTTAGGGTGCAGTTGCAGCTCTGTAACTTATCAACTGTGTAACATAGGGTAGTGGGTTGAATGACTGAATGTTAGGAGTGGCCTCCATTCTTCACCCCAGAAACATGCGAGTGTGAGCTTATTTGGGAAAAAATCTCTCTATAGATGTTAAGGATTGTGAGATAGCTCACTGGTGATTATCCTTGTGGTCCCCACATTGATGACAAACAGAAGAAGAGGAGAAGGCCGTGTGAAGATGGACAGAAACCAGAATGAGGCAGCCACCAGAGCTGGAAGAGGCAGGGAACGATTGTCCGCTAGGGACATGAGAGGGGGTGTGAGCCTGCCGGCACCTTGATTTTAAACTTCTGGACTGGGGGACTGTGAGGGAATAAGCTCTACCCAGTTTGCGGCAGTTCGGGAGACTCGTGCACAGAGGGTGAGTTATCTAGTCCCTGTGTGCCTCCGCTCGCTCAACGAAAATGGGAAGAGGATCTGGACCTTCCTGACCAGGGCTGCTTCAGGGAGCCACAGAAATGAACTGGGTAAATTGCATCAGGCTGGTGCTTCCTAGAGGGAAACTGTTAGGATGGCTGATGGAGAACAGCCCTGAAATGTTGGATTCATCCAGCAGATGGCGGAAGATGGATTCACAAACCTGTAAGGTTTACTGCTCGACATTGCAAGGCAGACCTAAAGCAGCCGGCTCAGCTCACAGCTCAAAGTGGAGGAGAAGCTAACTCGCTCCCCTTCGCCTTGGAGCACGGTACACACAAAGGGTGGCATTGGAGAATATGGAGTGGGGTGCAACAGAAACTCTGGGCTTCCAGACTCGCGCTGGCAACTCAGATGCAGCAGACATCAGAGGACTGTGGTGGGACTAGAATGACGCAGCGTGTGAAAGCGCTGGCTGAGCAAGGCACCCGCAGGCTCAGAAGCAGCTGGAGGGTCTAACTCATCAGTTACTTTGGCGTGAGTCCTGGGGTCATCATGGGCGCGTTCGCTCCTTTATTCACTCAGCAAACACTGACTTGTGTTAGGCCTCGTCCAGGGAATACTGACTGCCCTGGTTCAGGCAGCTCATACGATCAAGGTGCAGACAGGGCAGGTCCTTCCCCAGGTGCCAGGCTGGCGTTCCAACTCCAGGCTTTGACTTCAGAAACACACTGGAATGAGCAGACCTCTTGTGAAGATTTTGATGTTTCTTTTTTCCTTTTTTTTTTTTTTAAAGATTCATTTATTTAGTTGAAAGTTAGAGTTACACAGAGAGAGAAGGAGTGGCAGTTAGAGAGAGAGAGAGAGAGGTCTTCCATCCGCTGGTTCACTCTCCAATTGGCCACAACAGCCGGAGCTGCACCTATCTGAAGCCAGGAGCCAGTAACTTCTTCCAAGTTTCTCATGTGAGTGCAGGTGCCCAAGGACTTGGGTCATCTACCACTGCCTTCCCAGGCCATAGCAGAGAGCTGGATCGGAAGTGGAATGGCTGGGACTCAAACTGGCACCCATATGGCATGCTGGCACTGCAGGCGGCAGCCTTACCCAGTGTACCACAGTGCTGGCCCCAGATTTGTATGTTTCCTTCCTCATTTCTTTTTAAGAATTCTACTCTTAAAGAAACCCTACTACTGATGGTTAAGCGAAAAATGAAGAAGTCACGAGAGCTTGCCCAGAAAGGTCTGTCTATCCATTTCTCTTTCTGAGTCAAAGCTGGAAAAATACAGCCCCTACGGTTACCAGAAGCTGCCTCTGGGCAATGGGGCAGTGGCACGAGGACACTTCAAAAAGTCTGGAATGGAAGTAAGAGATGGGTTCATTTTAGTGCAAAAAAAAAAAAAAAAAAAAAAAAAAAAAGAAATTCATGCATAGGAGGGAGTCTCCCAAAAGGTCATGGAAAAGGCATATTATGAAAAAACTACACATGGATTTCTAATTTTTTGCACCAAAATAAACTTTTAATTCTGTTTTTCCACAAACTTTTGGAAGTACCTTCCTATTCGGAAAAAATGGGAGCTTTTACCTTTTATTTTCTGTACTTAGAAGAAAATTAAAAAGAGTAAAGTCCATCTTGGCTCTTCTTTGCACCTGTGCAAAGAGGTCATCTAACAGGAAGTGATCCCTGGTGGGTCAAGGCCTCCTCCTCTTCAGAGCGACGGACAAACAGTCAGTTGCTCAGCAACTCGCAGGCCCTGGGGGGGGGGGGCAGGTTCGGGGGAAGCTGGTGAGTCACGAGGAGGTGCCAGGAAGCCGACGCCGCCGTGCCCGCCGGCCGGCTGTGATAACGCCCTGACGTGTGTCCACGGCTTCTTCACGGTGCTCAGGGAGCTTTCTCCTGCACGGTAACCCTTCTGTGACCCTTGGGAGGTCAAGCTGGCAGGGCTGGTCCTAGACTGTAGATGGGAAGGGGGAGGGTTTCACCTGCCTTATATGTCAGCTACTGCAGGACACAGGAGAGCTGACCATTAAGGGCAGCCCTCAGATGACGCGCCGCCGGCCCTGGGGCGTGGAGGAAGGGGAAGGGCAAGCAGTCTCTGACCCTTCCTCTCCCCGCCTTCTGTCAGCTCTCCAGCTATTCCGTGGGAGGAAAGGAGAAGACCCTGTCAGAGGATTCACAGCCCAGCAGCCCAGCGCCATGCAAGTTCAGATCACACTATGGATTTGAAACAGCGTGTTAGAAATATCTCAGTCAAATCGTGCTTGTATGCAAATACGGAAGAAATGAGAAGTTTCTCAAATTACCAGTCAAGTTGTTGCTGAAGTTCAAGGCTGGCAGACCGTGTTGGCATTACTGCCACACGGGGGCGCCACTATCATTGGTAGACTGGCAGACCGGCTCTTCCGTCCAGAACTGCTTCTGGGAGCTGTGAGTTACACGAGGCTTTCAGGAACTCCGTCTCCGCGGACGGCTTCCCGTGAGCACTTTATTCAGCAGGAAAAGGGCTAAGGGAGAGGCAACTTAGGGGAAGGCTCCTAAGGCTGAAAGGGAGAAGGATGCAGAAGTGGCTCCTCCCTTGTGGTGCAGCAGGTTAAGCCGCTGCTCACGACACCTGCGCCCAGTATGGACCCCGATTGGATTCCTGGCAGCTCCACGTCCCATCCAGTTCACTGCTAATGCGGCTGGGAAGCCAGGGGCAAATGGCTCAAGCACTTGGGCCCCTGCACCCATGTGGGAGACCCGGATGAAGCTCCTGGCTTCAACCTTGCAGCCATTTGGGGAGTGAACCAGAGGATGGAAGATCTTGCTCTCTGTGTCTCTCCCTTTGTATCTCCGCCTGTCAAATAAACGAATCTTTAAAAATAAAAGAGGCGACTCTTGAAGCAGGTGTGGACCAGCGGAGGTCTCCGAGCCTGTGCTTCTCTGCACTGCCTGCCCCTCTCCCAAGCATTTGTCCGTGTCGGCCAGGTGGGCTAGGACAGGAGCATCAGCCCAGACGCCAGCTTCCTCTCCTGCAGGCTGGGTTAGATGCCTGTTGGGCAATCACGCACACCGCCGCACCCTCACCGTGCCATATCTATGTGAAATGACCGTTCACTTGGCGGCTTCTCTCACCAGACTAAATTTCTCAGCGGTGGATTTTCTAAGAACAGCATTCCGTGCATAACAACATGTGGAGATTTTCCCTTGGGATGGGCGTTTGGCCCAGGGGCTTAAAATGCTGCTTGGGACTCATGTCCCATACGAGAGTGCCTGGGTTTGAGTTCTACTTCTGCTCTTGGCATTTGGGGAATGAACCAGGGGATGGAAGAGCTCTCTCTGTCTCTGTCTCTCTGCCTTCCAAATAAAAATAAAGTTTATAAATATAAATAATCATTTAAAATTTATTTTATAATAATAAATATTTATAAATCAAGTTTTATCAAAAAAGGGTCTTTTTCCTTTTAAAGTTTTTTAATATGGAAAATTTCTTGCATATCCTAAAGTACAAAGAAAGGTGTAATCAACTCTCTTGTTCCCATGACCCAGTTCAACAACTACTGACTCCTGGCCAATGTCTTTCCTCTACCCATTTCCTCACTTCTTCATCCCATTGTTCTAAATGAATCTTACAAGTAAACCATAAATGTGAATGCTTGGGTGTGTTTAAGATGTCGTAAAAAAAAAAAAAAAGGAAAAGAAAGAACTTTTATAGCTAGGTCTGTCTCACTGTCTCACTGTCTGGTGGATGGGTGGGTGGAGTGGAGAAGAGTAGCATTTTTCTAGAAATTCTAATGTTTCTATGGAACAATTCCCTGTAACAAGAAAAATTGAGAAGAGGAGGAGGAAGGAAGAATGTTTATTATGTGCCAAGCACTGTGCATGATGATTTCATTTCATGCTTATAGGAGATACAGGTGTCATTATCTCATTTTAAAGATCAGGATCAGGGGCTGGCACTCTGGCATAGTGGTAAAGCCACTGCTTATAGCACCGGCATCCCATATGGGTGCTGGTTTGAGTGCTGTCTGCTCTGCTTCTGATCCAGCTTCCTGCTAATGCGCCTGGAAAAGCAGTGGAGGATGGCCCAAGAGCTTGGGCCCCTGCAACCACGTGGGAGACTAGGAACTAGCTGCTGGCTCCTGGTTTCAGATTGGCGCAGCTCCGGCCATTGTGGTCATTTGGGGAGTGAACCAGCAGATGGAAGATTTCTCCCTCTCTCTCTCTCCTTCTCCCTCTCTCTCTCTCTGTAACTCTGCCTTTCAAATAAATAAATAAATCTTAAAAGAAAAACAAAAGATCAGGGTCTGAGAGGTTGAGTGCTGGACCTATAGAATCCAGTTCTCTGCAACTTAAGGTCTGTGTTCTTAACTCCGTGATATGACGAGGCTTGTAATGCAGACCCAACAGAACCCACCCATGTCTGAGGCCACAAATGTCACCTGCCTGGGCTGCTGGCTCTTGTCTTCTTCTCCGTCAAACACCTGAATCCAACTCACTTCACAGGGTCCTGGGGACAGGCCTGCAGGTTATTCCAACCCTGGGAGGAGGAAGGGTTTCATGGCTCAGGATGCCAAAAGAGAATTAAATTCCTTATTTAAAAAAAAAAAGTCATCTTTCCTCCTGTTGCAAGGCACTGGAGACAGCCAGCCCAATGAACCTGTAAATAAATTTGTAAGGACAAAATATACAAGAGGTCTTCAGAAAGTTCTTGGAAAAAATGGAACGAAAAGATAACGTGGGTGGTCAGTGTTTGACCATGGTTAAGACCCCACTCGGGATGCCTGTGCCTCTGTCACGTTGCCTGGTTCTCATCCCAGCTCTGCTCTCAAACCCAGCTTCTTTTTAATGTGTGCTGTGCACTGGGAGGAGCAGGCGATGATCCAAGTAGTTGGGTCCCTGTCTCCCACATGAGAGACCAGGATCGCATTCCATGGCTCCTGGTTTCCACGTAGTCTAGCCCTGACTTTTGCAGACGTTCGGGGAGTGAACCAGCAGATGGGACACTGATCTTTGTCTGCCTGTCTCTGTCTCCTTTGCCTTTAAAAAAAAGATCATGTGAATTTTCCATGATTTTTGAAGCCATGTCAAACATACAGTGGTTGGGATAACCTCTTTGCAGGAAACTTCTAAGACACTGTGCTAAATGTGTTTTTTTTTTTAATTTTTTTAAGATTTATTTATTTGAAATTCAGAGTTACACACACAGAGAGAAGAAGAGGCAGGGAGAGAGAGAGAGAGAGAGAGAGAGAGAGGCAGAGAGAGAGGTCCTCCATCCGCTGGTTCACTCCCCAATTGGCCGCAACAGCAGAAGCTGCGACGATCCGAAGCCAGGAGCCAGGATCTTCTTCTGGGTCTCCCACATGGGTGCAGGGGCCCAAGGACTCGGGATATCTTCTGCTTTCCCAGGCCATAGCAGAGAGCTGGATCGAAAGTGGAGCAGTGGGTTCTCGAACCCGCACACATACGGGATGCTGGCACTGCAGGCGGTGGCCCAACACACTACACCACAGTGCCGGCCCCTAAATGTGTTCTTGGAGAGATGTGTCTGGATTTGATTGAGACAGTAAGGGAGTAAGAGAGGGAAATTGACCAACCACGGAAGCTTAGGAAACAGCAAGTGTCCTGGGCCAGTGCTGTCCCTCTCTGGCCGGTCAGTGTCCCGGTGAGAAGACACTTGGCAGGCTGACCTGAGGACCACCAGGCCAAGAGAGTGCTGAAGTGGGTGGGAGCGCCCGAGGCAGCACAGCTGCACGATACGGCTTCTGTGTCACCTTGCTCTGCCTTCTGGCTCACTAAGTCTCCTCAGCCAGGATAATCTGGCTTCTCGGATATTTGTTTTCAACAGAGGAAGAAGTCGCTCGGGCCAGTATGACGTCTGGGGCCTCGGGATGCCTGGTTTTCTCAGCATGGATGAGTATGCCTGCTTTCTGGTTACGACTTGGCTTCTCCAGTAATTCGCCTGCAGGGAGGGCATGGTGTGATCTTCCCACTAGAATGTGCTGTCTGCCTGCCAGCTTCACTTCTCTTTGCCAGGTGATGAATGGACATCCTGCGGTTCCTGTATCGGCTGCCTGGGTGTGCACGGTTCATGCCTGGGGAAGGAGGTGCAGGTGAAGACAGCCCCCAACGCCAGGTCTGCAGCTGGCAGAGAACGGCCCCTGGAGATGCAGAAGTCATCAAGACCTTGAATGCTACCTCCTAGGGCCCCTTGGGAGAGAGCTGGTCTCTAAACTACGTGTCACAGTGGCTTTAACCCAGGCAACCAAAACCCTTCATGCCCCAAGGGAACCAAGCTGGGATCTCCTCATCCCTAAACAGATGATTCCAGCACATATAGGTAGCTCCCCTGCCTTCTTCCTGTTGTATGAGACCATGAAGTCCTTGGACGCAAAACTCTGCCATGGCACTGCTTCCCTCAAAATCCTTTGATGGCTCACTATTGCCTATATAACAAGAATTGCCCTTGTCGAATAAACTATGGCACTTGGTTGCGATATTTGGCCCTTGAACTCATGCAGAAGTTTTAATCTCAAAGCTTAACCCCAAATGGCAGTGAGAGAGTGGAAACAATCCACTTCTGGTGTTTAGAGGTGGGGTCTTTGGGAGTTGATTGCAGTGGAGTGGGTTGTTAGGCAGAAGTCCCAGGATTAAACCCTGTGCCTTAGGGCCAGCGCTGTGGCGTGGTGGGTAAAGCCATTGCCTGCAGGGCCGGCATCCCATATGGGTGCCGGTTGGAGTCCCGGCTGCTCCACTTCCAATCCAGCTCTCTGCTGTGGTCTGGAAAAGCAATAAAAAATAGCCCAAGTTCTTGGGTCCCTGCACCTGCATGGGAGACCCGGAGGAAGCTCCTGGCTCCTGGCTTCAGATCAGTACAGCTCCGGCCGCTGCAGCCAACTGGGGAGTGAACCAGCGGATGGAAGACCTCTCTCTCTCTCTCTCTCTCTCTCTCTCTCTCTCTCTCTCTGCCTCTCCTTCTCTCTGTGTAATACTGACTTTCAAATAAATTTTAAAAAATCTTAAAAAAAAAAAAAAACACCCTGTGCCTATAAGAGACCCTAAAGACAGACATGCGAGCTCCCTGACTCTTGCCATGTCATCTCCTGTGCCACCCCGGGACTTGGCCAGCACAGGCCGGCACCAGCGGCAGAACAGTGGGGCCTGCCTCCCCCTCACTGTGAACCTCCAGACTCATGGGACAAAATCAACCCTTCTTCTGGATGAGTTCACTGCCTCAGGTCTGCATGGTAACAAATCGCTAATACAAACAATTATAAGAGCGGTCCAGTTTCATATGGAATCAAACATAGAAAATATTTGAGTTTTTTTTTAAAGATTTATTTATTTATTTGAAATTTAGAGTTACACAGAGAGAAGATAGGCAGAGAGAGAGAGAGAGAGAGAGAGAGGTCTTCCATCCGCTGGTTCACTCCCCAATTGGCCACAATGGCCAGAGCTGCACCGATCCGAAGCCAGGAGCCAGGAGCTTCCTCCGGGTCTCCCATGTGGCTGCAGGGGCCCAAGGCCTGGGGCCATCTTCCATTGCTTTCCCAGGCCATAGCAGAGAGCTGGATGGGAAGTGGAGAAGCCGGGATAGAACTAGCACCCATATGGGATGCCGGTTCTTCAGGCCAGGGCATTAACCTGCTGTGCCACAGCGCCGGGCCCAATATTTGAATCTTAAAGACACTGGAATACAGTATTGAAAATAGAAGGTGAGAGTTGAATTTTTCCCTCTGAGAGAGAGGCACGATTCATTTTAGAGAAAAAGAATTCTGTTATTTGGGAAAACACCATGATGGGCTTTTTTTTTTTTTTTTTTCTCTTAAGGTCTGACCAAATAAGCCTCCATCTGGATAAGTGAGAGCAGAGAAAGAGGGAGAGAAAGAAGGAGGGAGGGAGGGAGGGAGGGAAGGAGAGAGAGAGAGAGAGAGATCTGCATGATGGAACAACAGGAACCAGGTCTTCCTTGGCTACCAGTTCACTGTGGTTAGTAGACACAGGAAGGTCTGGACTCAGAGCCGTGTTCTCTAGAATCATCTGGGCTTTCACGTACATACTCATCTCCTCTACTTTCATAGATTTGAACTTCAGTGATCCGGGCTCCTGGACATTACTCTATTTAAGTTTCTGGTGCTGAGGTTGGGATGTTTAGGTTAAGCCTCTGCCTGCAGTGCTAGCATCCTATATAGGTATGGGTTCAAGTCCCATTTGTTTCACTTCCAATCCACCTCCCTGCTGGTGGCCTAGGAGAGCAATGGAAGGTGGTTCAAGCGCTTGGGCTCTTGCACCCTCCTGGGAGACCTGGAGAAGCTCCTGGCTCCGGATGAGCCCAGCTCCAGCCGTTGCAGCCATTTGGGGAGTGAATCAGTGGATAGAAGTCCTCTCTCTCTGTCTCTCCCTCTCTCTGTCTGCAACTCTGCCTCTCAGATAAATAAATAAATCTTTAAAAATAAGTTTCTAAGAGATTCTCACTGGTAAGACAGAGCAGGTGGCCATAGGCACCTAAGAAGATAAAATTGGGATCATCATAGCCAGAGTTTAATGACAAATGGTCCCTGACTCTGTGTTGTGTCCTGCAGAGCAAGCTGGCCATTGAGTGACATTCAAGGGCCAAGTCCTGTGTCAGGCACTGGTATATATATATATATACCAGATATAGCGGTGAACAAGATTAGCTTGGTCGCAGACTTCTTGGAGAAGTCCTAGATAAAGAAAAGTCCTGGATACCAAAAGAATATTTAACAGGAGCACCTGACTGATCCCAGAGCGATGCTTGCTCAGATGAGGAATAAGCTGAGCGAAAGGGTAGAGGAAGTAAGTTCCCTCTAGGGAACGTAGCACTCGTGAAGCCCATTCATCCCACAGTCATCTGCTGAGAACTTGCCGTGGGCCACACAACTGTTCCCAGTCTTGCCTGCAGCAGAGAAAACAGCCAATAAAAATCCCAGCTACTGTGGAACTCCCATTACAGAGACCCAGAGCCAATCAGGAGAATGGAAGAAAGAAAAAGCATGGGCTGTGTCTTCCAGGAAATGAAATGGGAAAGGTCTGACCCATTGACTCTGTCTTGATAGTTGCCGGGCATACGGTAAGAGCTTAATAAATAATTTGCTGCAAATGAACTAGAATCGTTGGGTGGGGTGGAGCTGGGGTGTGAGGTTTAACAGCCATGAGCCTAGTAAGTGATTGAGTTTAACGACAATGTGATGGAAGCATTTGCACGTTTACAGCCCCATTTCTCACTGCTGGTAAATGGTACAGTTGGTCTCAAGCATCCCAAGAACTTTTCGGGTAATAAATTGCCCTCAGCCCACCGTGAGTGGCCTGGTGTGAAGTCCAGAGTCCTGGTGTTTGGGGTCCTTCACCACGGCTGGGGCGCGTGATTCTCTCTGGGTGAAACCTCAGAGGGCAGAGACTGCGACCTTCCCATTCTGCCGGCGCCTCCCTTGTGTGGAGGTCAGGTCACCGTGGCCTCTGGTCCAGGCTGTTACACAGGGCAAGGGCACAATCCAGCCCCAAGGTGGGGGATTCTATTGTTTGGGAAAACACTCTGATCGGCTTTCTGGTTGATAGGGGCAGATTTCATCTTCCTTCCTTCCTTTTTTTTTTTTTTTTTAAAGTAAGAAAAGCTTATTATATGAAATAAAAAAAATATACAAAATCAAATGAAAATGAAAGCCATGAATAATCCAATTAACCAAAAACAATCAATATTTATTTTTGGGTGTGCTTCTCTTTTTGAAAAATAATTTATTTTATTTATTTGAAGGTCAAAGTTAGAGAGAGAGAGGGAGGGAGGGAGGGAGGGAGGGAGGGAGAAATCTTCTATCCACTGATTCACTCTCCAAATCACTCTCCAGTCCCAGCTGCTGAGACTGGGCCAGGCTGAAGCCAGGAGCCGGGAGATCCAGACGGAAATCCTACATGGGTACAGGGCCCACGCACTTGGGCCATCTTCTGCTGCTTTCCCAGGAGCGTTAGCAGGGAGCTGATTTGGAAGTAGAGCAACTGGGACTTGAATTGGTGCCCAAATGGGATGCTGGCATCACTGGCAGTGGAACCTTCTGTACCACAACACCAGCCCCAGATAGAAGTTCTTACAGAATTTTTTGTGCCATTATGCCTGATATGGGTATGTGTGTTTTACCTTGACAAAAAGTGACATTTTATAATACACACCAGTTTGCAACTGACCGATATTACTATTGTAAATTCTGGGCTGGTCTCCAGTGTTTCAGCCTCTTATGGTTTCCTTTCCCAATTTCTTCCTATGAAGTTGGGATTCAGTTTCTTGAATCATAACCTTGATCACACACTCTCCTCCTGAAACCCTCTTAGGTGCCTCCCACTCTCCATTTCTTATAGAAGCCCAAGTTATTTCACCCCCACTTCAATACCCTCTAAGTTGCTTCTCCGTTCTTCTCTTCCCCTAACTTCCCAGATGCAGCTGCTGCTACAGTGAAAGCCTGGCCACTCCCGAGGTCCTTCCTCCCTTCCCCTCCTTGGTTCAAGCTGTTCCCATCCACCTAGATGCCACCCCCAGCCGCTGGAACCCGGCCACCTCCTAGAGCTCGCTTTGGTGCCACCTTCTTCAGGAAGCCTTGTTCCTCCCCAGTAAATGCACTAGGAACTGAATCCACTGTTGTTGTTGTTGTTTTTTTTTTTTCTTTCAGGAAAAAAGAAAATTTAAAAAGATTTTTAAAAAGTCTTTTATCTTTGCAATTGCTCAAGTACACTTTGCTTCCTTGGCTGTTCACATGCCTGTACACACTGACGCACACACTCACACCTCACATGCATGATGATAAGCTGTGCAGAGGACGGGATGGACGTTTGTTGTCATGGCTAAGACATGGCTTGGGATGTCTGTACCTGATATTGGAGGCCTGTGTTTGAGCCCTGGCTCCACTTCAGATTCCAGCTTTCTAATTCACACTTCGGGGAGCATCAGGTGATGGCTCAACTACTGTGTTCCTGCCACCTACATGGGAGACCTGGACTGAAGGCTTCTGGCTTCAGCCTGCCCAGCCCTGGCTGCTGCAGGCATTGGAGAAGTGAATCAGTATACGGCAGATCTCTCTCTCTCTCTCTCTTTCCCTCCCTCCCTCTTGTTGTCCCACTGCCTTTCAAGTAAAAATAAATAAATAAGAAAAATTTAAATAGTTTTTTAATTTGTGTAAAGGAAGATTAGTGACAGGGTAGACTTAGAAATCAAGGTTTCACTTCTGCTAATGTTTTCTTATTAGCAAAGTAGTTTGACTACATCTACGTAAGTATACGAATACACATGGATATATACAAGTTCACCTGCTTATGTATGAATAAACATCTTCAAATGTTATTGGAAAATGCCTATTTGTAAAAGCTATGCATGGATTACAAAATCGCTTTTGCACCACAATAGGCTTATTTTTTAATTCTATTTTCTACAAACTTTAAAAAGTATGCTTGGGACAGGGATTATGGTATAGCACATTGAGCCACCACTTGCGATACCAACACCCCACAT